CGGACTCGTCTTTCTGGAAGCCAAACGAGTAGAAGAGGAATGTGAAGCTAACTATAGTGAAACGCGCTGCCTTGGAAATTTGTGCAATTTTGTGCGACGACGTATTTGGACAAAGAAATGGCTGAGCAAACGTGGCTACTGCGGTCTGTCATTTTTACATAAAGAACTCCATTTCCCTCATTGCACCCCCGCCATGCTTCTGTGTTTTCATCTGAGAAGAAGAAGAAGAAGAAGAATCCTTGTTTGCCCACGACCACCTTACGACGGCCGACTGAATTTCAGACATGTTTGATTTTCTCCCAGCCTTCTGGTTGCTGATGGGGAGGTGGTCGTTAGAGGCTGATCGCCCCTCGTTACCCCCTGTTCACAACACCACGCACCATCAGGCTGAAAGTCGGCCCGATCGGAAAATTCTCGCACGACTGGAAAATCGGCCGGAAAAGGGCAAAAAATCGTACAGTGTACGCCCTGACTTTAGAAATGCATGCAAATGAATTTCTTAAAATAAATCATAATGGTAAAAAAAAAAAAAAAAAGAAAGAAAAACTGCATATTAAATTGACTAAAGTTAAGGTTAAAATGAGTTAGACAGTTTGACACAAACAGGATAAATATGCCAGGCAGGTTTATTTCTAGAACACAATTCAAAACAATGATTTAAAGTGCTGAACATCAATTAAACAGTAAAATAAAAGCACAAAGTAAAAAAAATTATGATAAAAGCAAATAAAAAAGCTGGACCACAACCTTAAACTAAAAATACTTATTTATTTATTTTTGTTTTATTCGTTTATTTTATAGGGACAAGTATGTTTCATGAATCATGTCACACACTACAACATTTTAGCTAAGGCTAATTCTTAATGCTTTAAACAAATGGGTGTTTAACCTTAGCTGCCATGGTGAGGGGATGAAATATTCTCCACAGCAGGATTTGATTTTTACTGTTTTTTTTTTTGTTTTTTTTTTAACCCTGTTTTTTTATCTACTTGTTCCACTGAACTCGTACTGCTGTTGTTTCGCTTCGCCACGCCCAACTTGTAGGACCCTGTTAATACCTCCTGCTCTTTATTGAGTAAACACAGGAGTGGTTTTTATAACTCTAGAACAATAGTATTGTTGCATAATTGATGCATTTTGATTTGAAGGAAAA